TACAATTCATTAGTTTTTTTAAATGGCAAATAAAATTGTATATATGTTGGGTAAAACATGTTTAGAAATAAGCAGATTGTGGAATTATTACATTGCACTCAGGAACATACGCATACTTATTTTTTTGGTGAGAATACTTCTTGATTTTCAAGAATACAATACATTAACTTCAGTCACCATGTTGTGCAATGCATCCCTTAAACTTATTCCTCCTGTCTAACTACAATTTTGAATGCTTTCACTGTCTCCCCAAGTCCCTGCCTCCCAGCCCCTGGTAACCTCCATTCCACATCCTGCTTCTCTGAGTACCATTGTTTACATTCCACATAAGTCAGATCACGTGGTAGTTGTCTTTTTGTGCCTGGCTCATTTCACTTAACACAATGTGCTCCCTTAACCTCCTGTGAATCCCAGTTTCTAACCTGCAATTGCTCTAAGTGTTTTCATTCCCTTTTCATGGTTTCTACTAAGAATTCCAGAGCTCAGCTGCAATGTGTTCACTGCTTTGGAGGTTATTCATTGTTTTTCTTTACTTCTTGTCCACGGACACACAAATAAATTGTCTGGTGCAAGTGCAGCGGCTATATGCCCTTCCTGTGAAGGCAGGCCGGTTTGACATCTATTAAGCAAATCCATCTCAGCATTCTTAACAGCCTTTATATTGTTTGATATCAAGCTCAGAAATTCAAAAAATATGCCTCTGTCTTTGTAAGACTACCAGTGGGTTGGAGAAGATTTATGTAATATTCAACCCAGCAGATAATGTATATAAAAATTACTTCATATGATTTAATGATCTTGAATCGATTTAACTGTTTCTATGTCATACTTGGAAAAAGCAGGGCAATTATAAAATTTAATAATGGCTTCTCCATAAAAAGCAATAATTCATATGCTACTTTAAAAATCTTTTGTCTTATGTAGAAGAGTAAGTGGCATCCTAGTGGCACCAGAAGGATGTACTGGTGAGCTTGTGTAGCGGTCCCTAAGTTAATGCATGTTGCTTTATTTGACTGACACTGATGTTCCCATCTTAGCTTCCGGCAGTTACGTGGGCAGAAAACCCAAAGTCAGTAACTTTGAACAGTTCCATCAATGTTAGTAACTCAAGGGCCAAAGTGATGGACTAAACAGCCAGTCGAGTCAATCTCTGGTTCGCCCTCATGATGACAGAATGCTTTTAGGTAGTGAGGCAGTGCTTAGTCTCAAGGTAGCCTCCCTTCCCCTCATGCATTACCTAGTGTTTGTGTGCAGGAATGTGGATCCCCTATACATGCCTGGGGCTGTGGGTGTGGGGAGGCGCCTCCAGTGTGCTGGGCTATACCCTGGGGCCTCTGCAAGTGCCTGACCAATAGATGCCCCCTGTAGGCTTACAGTGTGGAAGTTGGCAGCTTCACCATAATCTGTGGCCTGAGCTAGGCCTCAGGGAACATTTTCGATGGTGTCAGCTATACATCCTCCTTACTTGGTGTCATAGGGGAGCAGCGACTCTCTGGAACTGTGGGATGCGAAGTAAAAGAATTTACCAAGACAGTTGTAGGTAAAGAAAGGCAGATTTATTGGACACCACAGAGTTTACATGTTTGTGGTGATGTGGGTGTGTACAATTATGTACAGTGCATAATGCTTGATGAAAATAATAGATGCTGATGTTAATATTTTATGTATTTAATATCCTGGTTTTTTTCTTGTTATTTTAAAGTATATGCTTACTACTTTGTTTTTAAGTTAACTGTGAAGCAGCCTCGGGCAGGTCCTTCAGAAAGTTTCCAGAAGAAGGCATTATTATCAAGGAGATGACAGCTCCATGCCTGTTACTGCCCCTGAAGACCTTCCAGTGGGACAAGATGTGGAGGTAGAGGACAGTGAAATGATGATCCTGACCCTGCTTAGGCTTAGGCGAAAGTGTGTGCTTGTGTCTTGGTTTTTAACGAAAACCTTTTAAAAGTGAAATAAATAATGAAAAAAGCTCATAGAATAAGGTTAAAAGGAAAGAAAGTATTTTTGTATAGCTATATAATTTGTGTGTTTTTTTGTTGATCTGTTTGAGACAGGGTCTCGCTCTTTCACCCAGACTGGAGGGCAGTGGCACAATCACGGCTTACTGTGGTCTCCATCTCTTGAGCTCCAGAGATCCTCCCACCTCCCTCAGGAGGATGCCAGTCCTGCAGGCAGACATCAGGCCCCAGGTGGACTCTGGACTCAAGGTGTACACCAGGTCCGAAGTTGACAACCAGGCCCCAGATGGACACCAAGGCCCTAGGTGGACAGCAGGCCCATTTGAACACTAGATTCATGTGGACATCAGGCCGCAGGTAGACACCGTGCCGTAAGTAGACATGTAGGCTCCAGGTGGACATTAGACCCAAGGTACACACCCAGTCCCCAGGAGAACATCAGGCCCAGGTGAAAACTCAGGCCTTAGGCACACATCTGGCCTTAAGTAGACACCCAGGCCCCAGGTTGATACCCAAGTCCCAGGTGATCACCAGACCCCAGGTGGACACAAGACCTTAGGTGAACAACAAGACCCAGTAAGCCATCAGGCCCCAGCTGGATACAGTCCCCAGGTAAACACAAGGCCCCAAGAGGAACATAGGCCCAAGGCAGACATCAGGCCTTCTGTGGACATCAGGCCTGAGGAGGACATCCGGCCCCCGGTGAACATCAGGCACAGGTGTCCAAGCAGGCCCTGGGTGGACATAATGGTGTCTAGGTAAGGAGGTGTCCTGGGGGGAGGGTGAGCAGTCAGCAGCCCAGTGGAGTCTTAAGAAGGTCGTATGGAAGGAAGGGGCTGAGGGGACGGAACCTTAAGTGACCTCACTTCCTTAATGACAGACCCGAACAGAACTTAGAACTCTGGTGACCAGGTGCCCATATCCTAGAGTCAGCACCGTAACCAGCTCACTTGGTAGAATACGCTCAAGAGAACAATATGTTCTCGTGTTGCTTCCCCACTTCAAGAGGCTGCTGCTTCAGGAATGGAGGGAGTGAGAGCCTTTTCCGACGATGCCGAAGAAGGCTCATCCCTCACCCCAGATGCCTGTGGCCCTTTGTAAGAAGGTGCACCCGGGTACCACAGGGCAGCGCAGGGCAGGCCCTAGCAGGCCACGCCACACCAGAGATCCCATCGGGGCTGCATCTGCACATTGTCCTTGTCCAGGAGGAGATTTGGGAGCCCATGGAGGCACAGGCACATGGTGAGGTGGCCTGCAGTCTGGAAGACTTTGTAGGGGCAGTGTTTAGGGGCTGGAACTCCTTTAAATTCAGTGAGGTTGTTTCTGTGTTTGGAAATTCCAGTGGAAAGTGACTGACGCTGCGGACTTTTTCTCCTTTTTCAGCTCCTGGTCCATATGCAGAAATACCAGCACTTCCAGCACCAGCTGTTGAGCCAGAGCCAGCATGGGAAGAGTCCCCTCCAGAGACAGCGCTGGAGGTGAAGGGAGCTCCAGCCAAGGACCAGCCCAACGAGGAGCTGCCTGAAATCACGGCACCTACTGTAGCCACTGGCCTTAGCCCTGCAACTGAAAACATGGCTGTAGAGAGAAGTCGGAGGGAGGGGGTGACCAACACGGCCCCAGCCAGCCGCTCCCATGCTGCCCCTAGTCCTGGGCAGGTGGCAAACATGGAGGCGGAGACCAGGGTTTTGAGCCTGGGCTCCTCTACGTTGCTGGAGAGAGGCTTGTGTCATTCACTAGAGCTGCAGTTCTGCTGCTGCAGGGCCTGTTTATTCTACTGCTGCTGGTGGGGTCCATCTGTGTGCAGGAGGTGCTTGAGGGCATTAAAAGAAGGCTGGGAGGAGGAATTCTAGCAGCTCCTCCTGCTCCCAGAGGCGGCCTCCTCCTCCAGGCATGGATGTCTGTCTGCAACTGGCATCCAGGCTGTTTGCACCTGTCGTGCTGCCCAGGACAGGCTCTTAAAAGGCGGGCAGAGGGTGAGGGGACCAGGAGGCAGTTCCAAAGGGTACAGCAAGCAAAGCTTTTAAAGACAGCACTTGTGCCCCAGGCTGTCCATGCCACTACCTGCCCTAGCATTTATTAATAGTGTTAGAATTACTAGTTGCTGAAACAATATTTCTATAAAGTTTAATTTCTGAAACTTCGTGCCTTTTTAAGCTTGTTCTTTACTAGAGTAGGTGCAGTCTGGGTGCAGTGATGGTTTCTCTCTGTGCCCAGAGGGCTGCTCCCTCCTTCACTGCCAGGACAGATGCCGGTGTGTGTTCTTCTCCCAGCCAGTAAGACAGATGCAGTCAGTAAACAAAACAAACACAGACACACACACACACCTTCCTCCCTCAGCAACCCCGACCCCTGACAGCAGAGATGAATCATGTTACTCAAAGTAGAAAGTTGCCATCAGTAAGT